TTAATTTAAAAAAATTAAATATATATCGTGTATGTGAGTATGTTTCATATAATATATTTAAAAAAAAATAAACAGGAAATAAAATCTGTATGCCGCGCGGTGCTGTGCACATTTTTGCACACATTTCTTGGCCAGAAGCCAATTGAGGCAGTATTGCTTAAAATTGCCTAAAAATCTCCACCGACCTATGAATGGTGGGGGTGAGTGTGTCGTGTGTGTGGACTAACTTGAGCAATCGGCAAAATACCTGAAAAGTGCCAAATAGGTGTGGATAATTTTAAAATCATAATTTGTCATGACTATGAAGAGAAGAGGTCGGTCGGTCAACGGAGCGCAGGAGATTCGAATAATGAAAAACATTTTCCATTTCTTCATTAATTTTTTTTTAATTTTGTTATTAAATAAGAATTTTGATTTTTGTTGACTGCTTAAATTCTTGATTTTTTCGGGTACTGGGTGCAACGTGGCAAAGTCTCTTCAGCAAATTTTCATGTTTTCGTTTTCAGTATATATTTATAATTAATTTTTTTTATTTCTTTTATACCCGTACATAAATTCACTCCATATTTGTTCACGCTTCTGCTACTTTATCCACTTGCAGTTTAATAATTTTTAACAATGACTAAGGCATTTGGCATTTGGCTCCTTTAAATTGCCTTGCCTCCTTCATCATGTTTTATTGGTTCTCTAAATGATTCGCTTATTTTGAGTGTTCCTGACGGTCGCAAAAATTTATGTGGTAATTACTTTTCAAAATACAATGCCTTTATTGGTAATTATATTTTTATATTTTTATTTTCAACAACTACGTCAGTAATTCGTAGAAAATATTCCATGCAATTGTTTTGTTTTTATAAATTTTAAAGAAAAATTTTAAGATTCGCAAATTTTTTGTTAACATTTGACGTCTGCGAAATTTTTTTGCAAAAAGAAAATGTGTTTAATTTATAACAGAACCGGACTACGTGCACATCAGGATACGATTTTTGTAAAAACGGTGCAAAACAATATACCTTCTTCTATATCCTCTACACTATTATTAATTAAATATTAAGTTTATAATACCGTGTATGAGACATAAATGATCGTAAAACAGAATAGAATAGAATTAAAAAGAACTAACTAAAATCAAATATAATTAAAATGAGACGAACAAAATATTGATCAGAATATGAAACAGAATATCACACAGAATATCGGAAAGAGTGTCGAACAGAATATTGGATAGAATATCGAAGAGAATATGGAACAGAATATCAAACTGAATATCTAAGAGAATATCGAACAAAATGTCGCACATAATATCGAACAGAATATTCAAACAGAATATTGAACGAAATATCAAACAGAATACCAAACAGAATATCGTAGAAAATATAGAACAGGATAACAAACCGAATATCAAACAGAATATCGAAGAAAATATGGAATAGGATAACAAACCGAATATCAAACAGAATGTCGAATAGAATATTAATAAAATAAAATAAGAGAACAGAATAATATTGAATTCAATATAATTTGCTTAAATAGAATAGAATAATGTGGGAAAACCGTTCCACATTGGAACATATCACTGCAGCCATAGTACGTCTTTTATGCTATCACTAATTTCGATTAAACAGAAGATGTATAGACTTTCGAATATAACCCAGGTTATATCGAAAATGTGAGTAATTGCTGTCGGGCGAGGTCACTGTTCCTTTCCTGGTACTCATCAAATTCGGATGTTTTAATAATTGAAACAAACCCAACTTGTTGAGAAAATTAGAAAGGCACACATCATATAAACTATATTATTGATTAGCATAGTGAAGCAAATTGCTTTGGTCTTTCTATGAATATATATATACTTTGATATATATTCTCTCTGTTTTTCCAGTACTCTAATGAAAACTACACAGAAGCTTTTGTAGCCAAACTTATATATTTTTTTTAAAGAATTCAACGATTGTCATTAGTCCCGGTTATTTGTTAATAAGCAAATGAAGATCTGAGTTTTAAGAAATAATCGATTAGAACTTTGCATAAGGTATTTTTGTAAATCTTAGCTTAGGCTTAGTTTAAATCAAATCATTAAATGAACTGAATTGATTGAGTATATTATTTGGGTCTTCTATTAAATGTTGACCGAAAGTAGAAATACAGATTTTTATATATAACATATTTATTTATATTTGATTTTAAGTTTAAAAATTAATTAATATATTTACCTAAAAAATTAATAAGCAAATGGTAACTCCATGAAACCAAAGATGGTTATGAATCAAAAATTCTAATGCAATCACTTTTGATATTCTTTTATAGGACAGACCACATATCATATTTTAATTATCAATTCATTAATTAATACTTTATATAGATTCCATTGTTCGCTGTCTAACATTGCTTGCCCTATTAAGGTATATGGCCTGACATTTCTTAATAGACTTTGGGTTTCTACTGTTCGCTGTTTGTTTATTAAGGAATATGACCTTTCATTGACAAACAGATTTAAAACTATCTACGATCCTTTACATTATCTTGTATTATTTTCTGAATATGTGTCCACGAGGTCACTTGCGTATATGGTATATATGTATAAAAATTAATACATTTGCTTAAATTGTTACTGTATCTGTCTAGATACATTTGTATTGCGTTATCTGTGTGTAAACGGCTAAATAATATATATGGTTGCAGATGAACTTATATCGGTTTAGGTATGATGATCCATTTATCTGTAATATTTCCATGGGCCATAATTTTAATTTAAGTCCACGAATGTACTATTTTTGCAATATTCAAATGCTCCTTTTTAACTGAATTCATTATTCAATTCAAACGTTAATATGAAAATGATTTTTAAAATATTCTTTAATTTGAATTTTTATTTATTTTATTTTACCTTTTCTTTAATACCTACGTGGACAAAACTTTTTCTGCATATAATGTGAATTTCTTGAAATTGCTTTACACATGATTTACCCTTTCAAAACCTTTTTTTTCTCTTTTTACACGTACTTTCCTATTACTTTTTCGCAATTCAAGAACAAAAACTATTCTCAAGGATATTGTCGTAAAGTAGGTCAGAAAATTTCATCACATTACTTACAGTACTCGGTCTGTTATGACTGCAATGGGTGAAGGCAAAGTGCTTACACCGAAATGCAGCTTTCGTCTGCAAAATGCAAAATCGTCCTCCTTGTCATCATGTACTTAGGAATCAAAACGTGTCCTTGCATTAAGTACTGTAAACTGTGAAACGAAGGAAAAGGCGAAATCAATGCAACAACAAAATTACATTGCAGTATTTCTAGCAAGTATGGAGAAATGTTCAGCTGAAGTGAGGTCAAAGGGTCACGTATTTTTCCAACAATTTTTGATGTCATTTTAATTTATCACTAGAATGCCCAATAAATTTTTATAGTAAAATATGCACATTATAACATAGGGACATAGGACTTGAAAAGCATTTCTATGTCACTGGCTGCAAGTGAATATACAATTTCATATGCAGTAATATTTTAAATTCAGATAGTGAAGAACGTGTTTTAAATAATATATTTATAACTAATAAAAATTCTTGAAGTAATCATATTAGTTATATTAATTAAATATTATCTGAATCTGGCGAATGCAAATACCTCTGTATATCATTATTATTAGTTCCAATCCCATTAGGGACATAAACTATTAACATAGAGTCTCCATTGTTTTCTGTTAGATGGTTTATGTTTTAATTCGCAACAACGGTTTTTGCAGTTTCATTAGATCATTTCGGTTTCTATTTCATGCATTGTTTCTAATCAGTGCTGAGTTTAGTTGCTGATGGGATTGACCTAAAGCAATCTGAGTTTGGTGATAGGGCTGCTAACTTTCGAAATAAACTTTTTGTGGATCTAGTGTCTCTAAACTTGCCTCACTTCGATATTGTTACTAAGGCCATTTCCTGCTGAAGCTGGATGTTGGCGAACGGATATCTCGTCGGGCGCTACAGCCTCATATGTAAAAATAGAGTTCGACAGAAGACAGGTTGACGTTTGTTTAGAGAGATTTTTTAAGCCGTGTCAGAAACCTTGGACTTTCTGCAGTACAGATGAAAAAATAATGCAGTATTACCAAAAATCCAACTTTATTCTAAGCTCAATAGTTACTAATTGGACAGCAGAAACTAACAAAAATTAATTATAAACAAATCACTTCGTAACCTGATCCGTTTTGGTCACCAAAACGGAATCCAATATGTTTATAATAGACACAATAGAAATACAGATAGTTCCAACTTCAACAAATGGAATCTGCTAAGCGGGAATTAACAGAAACGAACCATAAAGGAATTTGCTTCGATAATAAGGTCTGTTTTTACATTAAAAAAAATAGATCTTACAGTGGGCATAATAGACTCAACTGTATTCACAGTGCACAAAGATATTTTCTATTCTCAATTCAATTCAATAGTCCGTTTTGTTATCAAAATAGAAGCCAATAATTTTCACAATTGGGACTATAGATCCAGCTGTCGTGGCATTGATAAGCGGGAAGTAATAAAAACGGACTATATAGGATTTTAATTCTAGAAAATGGTCTGTTTTCTTAACAAAATGGAAAGGCATTATTTTACAAATGATTTATTTAATATAACCTGAAACAATACTAATAATATTTTTATAATAGAGAACCATGAGATTTCTGTTTTTGTATTAATTATTAAACTCTATTATTTTTTCTTTTTATTTGATAGATTTTCCCTACACATTCAACATGATCGAAAAGGGAGATGTTACAACACAATGTGCTGTATATGATAAAACGCCGAATTCGGAACAACAAAGAATTAACATTATTGTCCGTCCTACAAATACTGTGGCGAAAGTAATCAGTGACATTAAAACTCAATACAGATATGAAACATTTGATCTGCTTCTACAACCTGAAACTAAAGACTTGGTAATAATATTTGAATGAATAGATTTTATATTGAACTAGAAACAAATAAATATTTTTCTATTATATTTCAGGTATATTTGAATGATCATCTAAGTTCTTTAATTTACAATGTACCGGGATTTGAGAAGACGACAAAAAATATATTAATACTTCTGCCAACTGGTGAATGGGATGGTAATAGAAAAAAACGCTACGATCTTACTTTAACGTCCCTGCCATCAATTTCCGATTTTTATCCAATAAACAGCAGTCCTGAAGGCAATATGGCAAAGATCGTCAAAAGGAACAGTATCACAACCCACAACAATAATAACAATAATAATTTTAATGGGCTAAATGACACCTTTTCGCCTCATTCTGTAATGAGCGCAAATATGACACATAACTCAAGAAGTGATTCGTTAAATGTTAGTCCTATGTCCGAGCCAGATCAGGATCAACTCTTGTATGATGATTTAGTTCTAGGTGCTTCTGCAAGTCCCATAGAAAGAGGACCTTTAAATAGCAGCGAATTAGTTTTACCACACACTTCTACAAGTACTTCAAATATAAATACTTGTAGTGCAGTTGGAGAAAAGTGGTTTGAAAGGGGCAATATGTCATGTGCACAAAATAAGTTAAATTCACTTAATCTCAGTCCTATGTCTGAATCAGACCAAGATCAGATGTCGGATGATGACTTAGCCTTAGGTGCCTCCGCGAGTCCGACAGAGAGTGAACCAATGAATAGTTTAGGTTTAGCACTGGCACATACATCTCCTAGTAGTTCACATGCAATATCTTTCGATGTGGACTACATGGCAACATCAAATATGGACTCTGCAGAAAAAAATGTGAGTTCTTTCTTGGAAAGGAAATATCCACTATCAGCTGTAAATTCAACGGCTACTATTACTGGCATATCATTTGTTGGTTTAGTAAATCAAGCTATGACCTGCTACTTGAACAGTTTGTTACAGGCTTTATATATGACGCCTGAGTTTCGTAACGCTTTATACCGTTGGGAATTCGATAATGACAACGAAGCCAAAAACATACCGTATCAATTACAAAAATTGTTTTTAAATCTTCAGGTCAGTAAACATATTGATTTTATGCCTCATATATTATTGAAGTATTTCATTTCCTTAGACTTCTAAAAAACCAGCGGTTGAAACAACAGATTTAACACGTAGTTTCGGTTGGGATTCAACTGAAGCTTGGCAGCAGCACGATATACAGGAGTTGTGCCGTGTAATGTTTGATGCGTTGGAACACAAGTTTAAAAACACAAAACAAGCCAACTTGATATCTAATCTATATGAAGGCAAAATGATTGATTATGTGAAGTGTCTAGAATGTAACACAGAGAAGACACGTGCCGATACATTTCTGGATATACCACTGCCAGTTAGACCATTTGGTAGCAATGTGGCATATGGTAGCATAGAGGAAGCATTACGTGCTTTTGTACAACCAGAAATTTTAGATGGAAACAATCAATATTTCTGTGAAAAATGTAACAAAAAATGTGATGCACATAAAGGGCTGAAATTCAAGAATTTCCCTTATGTTCTTACACTGCATTTGAAGCGTTTTGATTTTGACTACCAGACTATGCACCGTATAAAGCTAAATGATAAGTAAGTATATGTTTTTGAATAACTGTTAACAATTCGGTTAACAAACTACATATTTTTTAGCCAAACAAATTATATTTAATTTTATTAATAATTATTTTTATTTTTAAATCATTAGGGTCACGTTTCCACAGAGCTTAAATCTGAATAGTTTTGTGAATGTAAAAGAAGATCACGCATTCGTCAGTACGCACAGTAATGTTGCCTCAAACTTGGCTCTTGCCACAGCTAATGGTTATATCATTAATGGAGTAAATGCCACAGATGATTGTAGCACAACTGATAGTGGCTCAGCGATGGAAGAAGACAATTGTAGCAGTGGTATAGCAACAACTGCCTGCTCAAGTCAACATGAGAATGATATGAATGATGATGATGAAGGCATTGATATGAGCACTAGTACAGGCGTGAATGCGGAACATCGCAGTCGACATGAATCCGGTCCATATTTGTATGAATTGTTTGCTATAATGATACATTCGGGTAGTGCATCTGGTGGACATTATTATGCTTACATAAAAGAATTTGAAAATAATGACTGGTACAGTTTCAATGACCAAACTGTGTCAGCGGTAAGTTGTGTGCATTATAAACATTCACTTTATGTATTTCTTTAAAATATAAATTTATTTAAGATAACGGAAGAGGATATACAAAAATCATTTGGTGGTTCTGCTACAAAATCGTATTACTCCAGCATTTACAGCTCAAGTACAAATGCATATATGTTAATGTATAGACAAATGGATCGTAATCGAAACGAATCTGCTATGAAAGTACAAGATTTTCCTGAACACATCAATCAATTGCTTAAAAAATTACAAATGGAAGAAGAGTCGAATACCAGCATACGACGCATAGGGCGCCACAATGCAATGCCCGATTTAGCTTTACCAGAGCATATAAAGCCTCGAGTTTATTTCTACAATCCAAATCAAAAGAAACTAAAAGTGACTCGTGTGTCAGCTTCTCGTAGTTTCGATTTAAGTGCTTTGTTAGAAAATGCTTACAAAATGTTAAATGTTGACGAATTTGCCCCACTTTCACATTGTCGTTTAGTTGGTTACGACCAGTCATCAGAGGAAATACTGCAATCTTTCGAAAACGTAGAAGATAAATCGTTAACTGATATCCGCGCTGCTCATGAGGGCACCTATGACTTTCTGTTGGAATATCGTGCGGACGACCAAGAACTAGAAGTCTATGAACCCACTGGGAATACTTGGTACGTGTATGTAACAAATAGCACATTTAAAGAAATGGACGGACCATATTTTGTGCACTCACCAGCACATGAAAATAATGCCAGATTACGTCGTTCTATTGCGAAACGATTCAATTTGAATGAAAATTCGTTGATTGTTGCAACACTTGTAGGCAAAAAGGCATTTGTAATATATGATTCAAATCCTACTAAAGAAGCACAAGAATACTTGCAATCGGTAGCTAAATCGCAATTTAGACATATTATATACTTCTATCTTAATATACCGAGCACAGATCCAAAAAGTCTAGAAATACTTGGAATACCTTCTGTTGAATCACAGACCCCCACAATTGAGGTATCTTCTGATGTAGTTGACGCTGTTCCTATGAATGCTGCTACATATGTGGGTGCTATGGGTGATAATCTATATAATTTAGGAACTAATGATTACTTACGTCGAGAACCGGCACTACCACCACAAACTCTTACTGGTTTAACTGGTCAAGAATCAAATTCAGAAGATAGCAGCTTAAGTGATGGAGACCGCACTTTAGTGGAATCCATACAAAATCGATGTGGCGGTGATAGTCAGATATCGAGTTGCAGTCATTCACCGCAATTATCGAGTCCAGAAGATGAGATGAATAGTGAATCAATGAAACGTGTGGCAGCTTATTTCAGTAAATTTTTGCCACCTCAATCAGAAATGGACACTAGTTCCAGTTATAACACACCGTCATTTTTTTCTGCTATTAAAATTGATTCGCCTGATGCTGTTAGTAGTAACTATCCTCATTGTGATGCCGACTCATCAGAGGATTTGTCACGGAAACCGACACAAGCATATAAAATTTTAGCAAATTCGCATATGAAAATCAGTGTTTTTAAAAAGTATATAGAAAATTTAATAAGGGTACCAATCAATTATTTTAGATTTCAACGAAAACATGATTCTTCGGATGCGTTTAATACAGCACACTCTCTACTCGTATTGAATGAAGCTGAAACAGTTTATATAGAATTAGGCAAAACGCTCGAAGCAGATGAACAAAAAGCGAAAATCTCGTTTATGCGTCTATCAGAGCTAAACAACGAAACCGTCAAATTGCCTTGCGTATGCGAATGGGTCTACAATACAACAACGACTGTAACAGAAGCTAAGAAGGAACTTATATCAAAATTGCATCGCATCGATGATAAATATCTTTCCCTAAATATGGACAATTGTCGTTTGTGGCTTAAAGGTGGTCGAAATCCCGTAAAGATTTTAGAGGATACTGAACCATTAGTTGGTGACCTGCGATCTAAAATTGAATCAGAAGTATGTATATGCTTTATTGTGTACCTAGTTATAATTATAAAAATAATTTATATAATTTTTTTTAGTTTCTTGTGCAAGAATGTGAAAATGGCATTAGCCCACAACCGCATGAAGTTAGTTTAACGCTATTCGTAAGAAGATGGTATCCAGCTAAAATGGAGTTGGGAAAATTCGAAGAAATAACGTTAAATAGTAAGTAATGAAATTATCTAAGGTTATGTATAAATTCGATATATAAGTTTTTTTTAATAAGCTTTTCTATCCATTATTCGTATACATTTATATATTTTTTTCTTATATTGCAGAGGATGACGAGTTGAGGGAAACATTATCTAAATTATCTGGTATCGAAACTGATCACATTTCATATTGTAAAGTAAGTAATAAAAATTTCATTAATCACTTAATGAAATTTAATGAAATACTAATGTTGTATTTTTAATATTTTTAGGTGAACAGTTCCTTCCCATGTACAAATATATCACTAGTGAGTATTAATACTAATATGAGCTGGACATCAATACCGGTGACAATAGATAAATATCCACTTTCTGCAACGGTTAGTGGTAATATTTACTTCTACAAGTAAGTCCTGCAATTTTAAAGTACAATTACTGTGCTAAAAGAGTTCTATCGATCCATTCATTCATGTATTTTTTGTTTTTTTGTAATAGAGATGCAATGGAAGAAACAAAAGAACTGTCGTCAGAGGAGCGATTTGAATTATGCGCCAAAGAAAAACATCGCCTTGATCGTATGGGTTGTATCTCATCTACAACATCATCGTACTCACCCCGCCGTGAACGTGCATTAAAAATTTATCTCGATTCTCCAAAAACAACAACAACTTCATCGACAAATACAACGACAACGGACAGACTTGACTATTAAAGCTTAAAGTAAAAAAAAAAAAACTAAAGAACAAGTGCATAAAAACTAAAAACAAAAACAAAGTAAAAGTTAAGACGGGCTTTACAGTTGCGTTTGCAGCTTTTGAAGTGTGTATAGAAAGCAAAATATATTAAAAAATAGTGCAATTAGGATTTATAGTCTTAAAAAAATCTAAATATTCTCTTGTTATATTTAATTACGTTCTATTATAAGTATTATTAAAATTTAATTTTTTTGAATTTAAAAGTATCTAAACTAAAATATCATTAAAGCAATACAATAATAATTTTAAAATAAAAAATATCTTGAATATTTAACAAAAGCAATAAAACTTCTATAAAATAAAGGAACATTTTTTCCAGCAAATAAACCGCACATTAATTGCTATTTGCACTACACAATATACATACTTCGATAATATATATGAAAAATAATGTAAGCAAAATTCTAAGCAATTTCTTTTTTATATACAATATTTAAAATATATTATTTATATCATTTTTAATGTTATAATTCAAAATTCGAAATCATCCTAAATTTTATGTAAATATATTTCGGATTTAAATATTAAGTTGCATTTCAATATTGAGTTTTTATTATAATATTGTTCATTTCAATTTACAAACACTTAGCACACTTACAAACACATAATTTACATAATTTAAATTTTTATATACATCGCTCAATAAGACTTCGATCTAATACATATATGGCAACAGTGTAGACAAATGATATGTGGAGAGCAGCATTCTTCAAACAATACATGTCTAATATTCATCATATTCTGTTAATTATAATTACAGTTTATAGTGGTTTCGGTAACGGCAGTTCTGTAATAGATAAAACACCTATAGATAAAATCGAATATCGTTTATTGATTAAACAGTATTTTTTGAAGGAGAATAATACTGTTGAAATCAAACTGACTTAATAAACGTTATACAGACATCAGCTATTACTGCCTGATATGCTAATTTAAAAAATAGTTTTATAAAATCGACAGTTCTTCCGGAGAACATAAATAAATCCACAAATAGTTTTGAAAGACCGTAAAGTGATTGCCAAAATTGCAGTATAATTTGAGAGCATGTGCATATCGTTCTATGAAAAGGCATCGAAAAGTAATAGAGGCGTTGGAATAAATTTATTACCTTTCAATGTTGCCTATGTTGATGAATAATGTCAAATTTGTTGTTGTACTTATTTAGATCGTTGACTTATTGAGTAATGTGTTAAAGAAAAAAAATGCTATAGATTTTCTATAAAACGCAAACAAAAAGAATATTTGCGTACCAAAATAAAATATATATTTTGCTAATTTAATAAAAGTCCCACTTATACTTTGGAACAAGCACAACAACAAGAAGATTTATTAAAATTAATAAATTAATCTAATACAATGAGACTGTAAAAAACTAAATTATACAAAAATTTATTATTAGTGAAAATAATAAATTAAATATTAAAAGATAAAATGATAACTGATAAATGATAAATGATAAAATGTATGAAGAAAAAATATGCGTGTTTTAAAAGGATTTGTGATTTATAAGCTGGTTTTTGAACAAAATTTGTATATTATATTGAGAAAGCATCACTTCATTGTTAAAAATTTAATTTTAACATACCATATATACACGTATGTGCCTATGACTGTGAAAGGGGCCCAAGTGAAAATTTAAAAAATTAAAACTAATTTACTATCTGCAAATGAGATATGTTTGTTTTGAAATTTAAATTTATCTTATATCGATTCGCTGTTTTTCATAAAAATTTATTTAAAATGTTTTCAGTTTAAAAAGTACTGCTCATCAAGTCATAAAAATAAATATTTCATAATAAAGATCAAGAACACTACAAATAAGAAATATCAAACTTGTTTTATTTTATTTATTAGTTTTATATTGCTGATGTTTTAATATTATTTTTATTATATTACTGACATTATTTTCTACATATTAAATATAATAATTTTAATATATAAATTATGTTAATAATGAATCTTATTATTTTTAATGATATTGTATTTTATCTAACAAGAAGTCGTTTTTTCTTTTGAAAAAGAGATAAATATTCGATTTTTATTTATACAACACTTTTTGCTTAAACCCATCTTTAAATATTAATATTAATATTTTATTTTATTTCTTTATTTAATATTATTTGTATTATATTACTAATATTATTTTTAACATATTATATATAATTAATTTTGATATAAAAATTATGTTAATAATAAATCTTATAATTTTTAATTATATTATGTTTTATCTAACTAGAAATCTTGTTTTTTTTAAATAGATAAATGTATGATTTTTATTTATACAACACTTTTTACTTAAACCCATCTTTAAATATTAATATTAATATTTAATATTAATTTTAAGATTATTTTTATTATACTACTAATTTTATTTTCTATACATTAAATATAATTAATTTTAATATAAAAATAATGTTAATAATGAGTCTTATTATTTTTAATGATATTGTGGTTTATATAACTACAAGTCTTTTTTTTTAAATAGATAAATGTATAATATATACGATTTTTATTTATACAGCACTTTTTACTTGAACCCATCTTTAAAGACTTTTCTAAGTGAAGTTTGTTTTAGTTCGGTTTATTCAAAAGTATATTTAAAGCGAAAAATACTCTATATCTATGTTACGCTACTAATATAATACTAATAATAGACTATATAGCAGTTAAATAAATTAAAATTAAATATTTGTTTATATCCTTATTATCTTACAAGCTATAGTCTGATAACGCATAATGCATTAAAACTTAAAAATATTTTTATATGATTTTCGTTTGCTTTGATTAACAACTGCTTATATAGTTTAATAATATTATTTTAATATGTATATA